CTTCTAGTCCGTCTATACTGAGTCGACGCTGACGCTGGTTGTCTGGGTGTTGAATTCTGTAGAGGAAATCTGCGCATACGTTGTCTTTTCCTGGTTGGTAGTGAACCTTGAAGTTGTATGACCGGAGATACATGGACCATTTTGCCAAACGCCCAGTACTCTCTTTAATGCGATGAAGGTATTGCAAAGCTATATGATCCGTATATACATGGAATTTATTGTTGGCCAAATATATGTTAAACTGTTTTAATAGCTACAACAAGTGCGAGACATTCTCTGTCTTTAAAATCCCATCTTTGTTCCTTTTTCCGAAGCATGCGCCCGCCATATGCAATAACTCTGAGTTGTTTGTCATTGTCGTGTTGACCTAGAACACATCCTTTTGCAGTGCCACTTGCGTCGGGATGAAGAATAAACTCTTTGTTGAAGTCCGGAAATGCTAGGATTGGAGCTGATGCGAGTTTTGTCTTTAGTGTTTCAAGGGAGCGCTGGCAATCTTCGGTCCACTTAAATGGCTGATCTTTATGCAGAAGCTGATTCAGCGGAGAAGTTATTTTGGAATAGTTGTTTTAGAACTTCCGGTAATGATTACATAGTCCAAGGAACACAAGTACTTCTTTGATATTTTTCGGGGTCGGAAATGACTGTACTGATGCTGTTTTCTCTTGGTCTACATGTATACCTTCTTTTGTAATGATATGACCTAGATAACGGACTTCTTTACATGCAAACTGGCATTTAGACGGTTTTAATTTGAAGTTGGCTTTGATTAATTCATCAAATAGAGCTGCTTAGTGACACAGGTGTTCTTCAAAGATCTTACTGTAAATTAAAATGTCGTCTACATAAACTAATGCACTTTACCAGTTGAGGTCCCGGATTACTTCATTCACTTTTATGTTGAACGTGGCAGGCGAATTTGCTAGACCATATGGAAATCGGTTGAACTCGTACAAACCCGATGTGTCATACATGTAAAAGCAGTCTTTTCTTTAGATTCTTCTTCAAGTTCGAGCTGCTAGAAGCCCTGTCTCATATCACAGACGCTATATGTCTGAGCCTGCTTTTCCCCACGTGTATCTGTGAAGTCAGAAAGGGTTTGGAGCGATTGCGTGTAGATTTTCGTGAGACGGTTAAGTTTGCGAACGATCGCAGCATTGGTATGATTTAAGATTTTCGTGAGACGGTTAAGTTTGCGATAGTCCACACATACTCTCTTCTTGCCATTGGGCTTTGCTACTAGTAAAATGGGACTGCATCCATGGTGACATGCACTTTTGAATAATACCTTGTTCCTCCATTTCGTCCAGATGTACATTTATTTCTTCCTTTGTTTTCAGAGTAGTCTGGTATGGAAATTGTCTGACTGGATTTGCCTCACCTGTATCGACGATGTATTTGCCTATTTTGGTACAGCCCAGTTTGGTAATACCTTTAGCAAAAGCTTGACTATATTGCCATAACAGAGTCAATAACTGATATGTTTGTGTTTTATTTAAATCGGACTTTGATAAATCAATACCAATCTCAGTATTAATTTTGATAATTTTTTTTTGCCTGTTCTGATACTATTTATAAACTCAAAATTTGACAAAATTTTTATCATCTTGAATTTTAATAAAATTTCCAACTATAGTATTGTGTTTCAATGTTATTACAGCATTGGTATGATTTAAGATTTCAAATATAGCATTGTTGTTATGTGTTTGTATTAAGCACCGTGCTCCAATAATATTGTTTTTGCCAACAAGTGAAAAGTTTTGTTCAATTACTCCTGATGTGTTTTCGCTAAAATTATCTATCTTATCAGGAAAAATAACGCTTTGTCTAGATTGAAATGTAACATCGGATAGCGTACAAACAAAATTGTTGGTGCCATCCCGATCTTTGTCCTGACTTAAAGAAACTTCTGTCATTTCGTTTTGTAATGATAATACTTGTTTGGGGAACTTATCTCTTTTTGATCTTTAGGTCTCGGCCTAAAATAAGTGGCATATTGACATCATCCAAAATATAAAAATCGCGAAATCTTGAAAACTGCTACGAGTAGAGAAAATCTCACATTGGCAAAAATGTTCCGAATGTTGAGATCTATCTACTGTCTCTGAAGTCAAAACAGTCAGATGACTTCATATAGGAGTTATTGCCCTTAAAAGACAAATATTATTATTTTCTTAATTTTTGCATATCATTTTGAAAACAATTACTGATATTTAGAAACTTAAAGAAGCAACAATGATTAGTTCAACAAGATCCCCAAATAAGTCAAACATGGCCGAAATCATCAGACAACTTTTTATAGAGTTATTACCCTTTTTTGACGATTTCAACCAGTTTCTGCTGTTTTAGGCTGATATTGTAAAAAGTATAATAGATAGAAAGAATCTGTAACAGGAATAAATGATCAGCAAGACAAAATTAATCAACATTGAAATGTCATCAAAGTTTCACTTTAAATGTGTGTTTTTACCTTGAAAACTTAAAAAGATAAATGGGTTGAAAGTATTTAAAATCAAACGAAAGATTAGATTTTGATCCACACAAATTCCTTTAAAAAGTATTATTGTTGCATTGTTTCATGCATCAATTGTAAACAAAAATATCAGGTGAGCGACACAGTCTCCTTGGAGCCTCTAGTTATACATTTTTACCTATTATGTCTGTTTGTTTTGTTCACACATCGTTGTCAATATAATGGAATTTTATGCAACTGTCATACAAGTGAGAGGTATAGCTAGCTATAACACCAGGTTTAATTCCCCATTTTCTACATAAGTAAATGCCTGTACCAAGTCAGGAATATGACAGTTGTTATCCATTCGTTTGATGAGTTTGAGCTTTTGATTTTGCCATTTGCTTAGGGACTCTCCGTTTAGAATTTTCCTCAGAGTTCGGTATTTTTGTTATTTTAGTTTTTTCATAACTCTCTTCGTGCAGTTTTTTTACGGAGCACTCCCATGTTGGTGAAGTCAGTATAGTGAGAACATGCACGAATATAACGTATAAACTGAAATAAGTAAACGCCATACGTAACTAAGAGCAAATAGCTTTTGGTCAATTTTCCTACAAATGATTTTCATTTTTACTTAAATTCCTTCTGTGACAGTTTACCTCTTAAAGGGCATAAGATACGAGATATTAAAAAAAAAAAAAAAAGAATAGGATTTTTTTGTTCAATCATTGATGAAAGTGATAATTCGTTTTAAGCAGCCAGTTTGGTTCAGTTTCGTCAAAATAAGATAAGATACATCGCGGATGAAATATTCACTTGCAAGTGAATAATTCGACCTCATTGAATCTGTATCCATGTGACCTTCAATTTAACCCCTTAGCTAGAGATGGGCGTGTGTTTGCCATGATATTTTAAGTTTTCGACTTAAGAGTTTAAATATCCATTTGATATCTTCCGCATTGCTTTCTCGTCATGACTGCTAACAATTTGTAAGGGTAAGGGCTAGAATGCAGTATTATGAGAAAAAAAACCCCATATCTTTGTCATGTTGTTTAGTCGAAAAGTAACGTGCTGCACAACCCTGATTTTTCTTTGGAGATTACTATTGTCCAGGTCATGTCATCTGTACAAAGGCGTAAATGAAAAAAAAAAATGTGAAATCAACATTAACCTTAAAACACTAAATACCTTTACATGCTTTATAAAGTAAGAATGTATCAACAATTTTAAATTCATTTCATCTGAAACATATATTGTGTCCCCTTTCAGAAAATCAGAGAAAGAAACGTCTAGGTAAGTACATATTTTTTGCATGAAAGAGTGAATATGTCATTAATTGTCCATCAACAAAATATTTTCCTCAAAACGTAACAATATTCTTTCATATTCCACTAGTAAAAATATAGCTTAACATTATTGATGTTGGCAGTGGGGAAAAATATGTTTATACAAGTTTTTCAAGCTTTGCTATTCAATACAATGGTTATTGCATGAATATTGGTGGAGTGTATATGTATTGCGCTTGTAAGCGTCTTGAGTTAAAGATGACTTAATGAAAGAAACGTACAGTATAATCATATTATTTAAAAGTACTCATCAATGATACCGGGCTTGTAATTTGGCACGCCTGACGCGCGTTTCGTCTACATGAGACTCATCAGTTACGCTTATATCATAACAGTTGGAATGCAAACTATTTTGTAATTTTGTACATTTACAAACTGGTATGGTCAGTAATACTCATTTCTCTTATGTCTGTGGTATGTTACCAATTTCCCGAACGAAGAGATATTTCAAGTATCACACTGAATGGAATGTAATATAAATACAACATGTAATTGGTACGAAAAATGCATATATTTGGTAGACATATCTTGCACTGCATTTTGATACGAAATTGTGACGTTTCCATCGACTATGGTCAAAACTGATTTTCAAAAATTACAACTGTCTTCTTTTATTCAGTGGTAATTAACATATTCTATTTCTTCAACAATATAGAGCATCTTTTATTAATTACATACAAATATTCTGTTTTTAAAATTTAATTCCATCAAAAAAACTTTAAATCTTCTTATGTTAACGTTTGACATATGGTCCATTTCAAATACTTAACACTGTGTTGTTTTAATGAGTATATGCTTAAAATAGAAAATATTTGATAAACATTCATTAGAATTATAATTTGAAAACCCTAACCCTAGAAACATCAATCATTGCAGGACAATACTCACCTTTAAAGAAGATACTAATACCTAATTGACTATTAAATTTAATTAAAAACAAGGGCCTTGAGAGGATGCAACAATGAGACACTTACCAGTCTAAACAGAAAACAAAACAGAAAGACACGTGCCGTTATTCTTTTAAACGCCTTACTCTTCTCCGTTTGATCTCGAAAGATCCAAATTACAAAATTTTCCAGAAAGAAAAAGTATCTTTGTAGATTGGCATTGGTTATAATTGTCAGTAGGTTGCTGTCTCATCGGTGAGTTTCCACATCTTCTTTTGTTTGTTTGCTGCTAAGGTAGTATTTATTATAAGTACAAAATTTAAAAAAGTTTATTTATTAGAAATAGATAAGTTTAATAACAAATTATTTGAAATAGAACTGGTCTCTGTCAAGTCTTTCTTATGAAGGATAATTGTTTGTAATAAAAGGAATCAAATCGAATTGGATTAAGTGTTTTGTTATTGACATACTCTTCTAAACATTCCAAAGCTAAGTGTTGAAAATCAGGATAAAATTTATTTGCAAAAAGCTCTTTCCTTAATACAAGTTCTTTTAAATCTCCAACACCAAATATACAAATATCTCTGACAAATTTTCCTTGACACTGATCTGTCCCATCCCATGCAGCATAAACGGCTAGCCAAGACTTCTTTTCAGGGTTGTCTGTGAAAAATGAACATACTCTACCAATAATAATAATTAAAATGATGATAATAATAATAATAATAATGATAATAATAATAATAATAATGATAATAATAATAATAATATTCTCAAACATATAAACGATAATGACATTTATGCACATGACAACAATTTACTTCTTTTTAAAACTGCAACTTTCTCAGGGTAAAAAATATTTTGTACTGATCATTATTCCTATGAGTTCAGTTATCGTTTCGATTGTAGAAGAATAAAAGCACTGAAGTACTCATAAAATTAAATTCGTTTCTTTGACTTTTACTGTATAGCTGTTGTTAACATCAACACAATTTGGTTATGTCCGTTCGGTAAACCTTACTTAAATCAGATACAGCTCGATTTCACCGTCGCATGATACATATATGAACAACAACTATTAGCAATCATTTAAAACATATTTTCGATCGTCAATCTGACAATTTTAGCGGTTATAGCATGTGCCTGACTTTGAAATTTGCAGTTACAAAATAAGTTTAGGAATGCTTCTACCTTATACATAGTATTCCTTGTCAAAGAAGTTTTCGGGACTGGCTTTACTTTTGATCTGTTTTTGTTTGTTTTATCAGCTTTTCAACGGTTGTACTACTATGTTTATGTTTTCGGATTTTCAAATACTTTGGGGTCGAGCATCACTGAAGAGACATTTGTTATCGAAATGCCCATCTGATGCAGTAAAAATGGTACAGCAATGTTGACCGTTGCTAATAGATTAAATTTTGAGTCATGTGATTATGGATGTATGCACAGCAGAAGATTTTTTACCTGTTATTACACTTGTCTTTTTGAGTTGATTCCGATTTTTTAACTCCCATGTTTATATATTTATACTGAAGAATGATTAAGATTATTACCTGTGAATCGACCTGGCGCTTTTAAAATTTCATTATGATTCAAAGAAGCCCAATAATATTCATCTGGACTCATGATGTCTTCCATATATTCCAGTACATCTTTAGCCCTTTGGTCAAATACTATATATTGAACGAATTTTCGACTAAAAACACCATACGCACTCCCCTTTACAATACTTGCATTATACGGCATAGTATCATTTTTTAGTCCAATACGCACCATAGATTCGTTAACATTTGTGTAGCTGTACGTATATCGCTCCGATACCATCCGCTTAAATGACGTAATGCCTTCAATATCATTAGCACCATTGTATATTTTCAATATTTTCACGATTTCTAAGTTTGTCTTTAAGGGAAATTGTTGATGAGGTAAATTTATGAAATATTTCCATTTTTGTGACTTCGTCAAAAGATCCGACATGCAGTTAATATCTGCTTTAAGGCGAGATATATGTTTATAAATTATGTTTTCCGTCTTTGATGCAATAAAAACATTTTTGAAACACCTAGTAATTACTAGAAATGCTTCATGCAAATACCTCGAAGAACTGTTATCTATATGCATACAATAGAAGTTCTGGGGACGATAAATTGATCGAAGCAAACGTTCAGTCTGATCTGCGTCCTTGAAGGTTAGAATACTGAAGGCAATTGGAAAATTTCTCTCCTCGTCAGTGACAGGATACATGTTGTAGCCGAAAGTCTCTAAGAAATTTGAACAGTTCGTGGCTATATTAATGAAGTCTTTGTCCAAAAGACGGATTGGTGAATTATATTTCATGTATTGAAGTGCTTTTGAAATTTCTTCTTTGTCACCGTCAATTATATTGTGGCAATTAATCTTCAATGCTGGATATAGACTTAGATAAACCCGTACAAAGTTTGATGGACTAAACATGCTTATTATTGAAAATCCACCCATACAAAATATCAATGTTTTCCATTTTGTCTTCATCTAGATGGTAGAAAGTCGTTGGCTGTTATCTAAAATGAAATTATTGATAGCGAAATACAGATATGGTCCTATCAGCTTTTACATGTACGTATCAATTCTTTAAACCAATAGTTTATTGAAACTTATTAATTTGCGGCACTGTATGTAAGTGCAGCGAGTATACTGTTTCATTTATACGTGTCAAACTATATAATACACACAGCCTTGTCAAATATCGTATCAGGTAGTGATTGAATATTATTCCTCGCAGTAACCGATAGGCTGATAGAAAGCTATCATTCAAAGTCAAATTACCAGTTTTTGTTAACTGCAACAACATAAATATACTTTATTACAGCTACAATTATTCTAAAGACTTGGGATTAAAATCTTATATGTTACATTTTAAACATAGAAAACGAGGTCGATTTCAAACTTAAATTTGATGAACAGCGCGCAGTATCTTGTATAGGAAGGCGTCACAACAGCTGATTGTTCTCAAGAAAATTGAATACTATGAAACCAGATTAAACAAATTTAAAATTTCCAAAGCTTCATGGAATGAAGTAGTTTTTAGTTTTAAAAAAGTTCTAGAAAACTAGAAAAATACAAGACAGAACGTTAAGGATGTTCGCTGCTCTTGTTTTTGACTCTTTGTCAGATATTCGGAATCCTCTAGTTCTTCCATATAGTTAAAATAATACTGTTGCTCGCTAACCCCTACTTTTCTTTTCATAATTATATTACATATAGTTAAAAAAGTTATTTGAAAATCTTATAAAATCCTTGTTATTTTTTTTTTTATAGTTTTTGAAAGAAAAAGGTGCCAATGTTAAATGTATGAAAAATCTAGAGAGAATTATTTCCCGCCAAATTTATAATTGATCTTACCTCAAAAACTATAACATGGACCTTAATTTCTGAATAATTTCAGAATTCATAAACGGGCGAGTTAGGAATAAACTCATCATAGATACCAGGATGAAATTTTGTATTTGCGCCAGACGCGCGTTTCGTCTACAAACGACTGTACTGAAAAGCATTTAAAATATTATATCAGTACATAAGCACTGACTGTTATTACTGTTTTTAACTTTTTTTTGTTCGAATGTTTGTCAATATGCCCAACCAAAATGAAGTTTAAAAAAAGTATCCCAACATCAATTATCTTTACATTAAAGTATCATTATCAGACAGGACTTAACTGCATATTTGATAACATCAACGGTACCAATTTTTATGCAACAGATGCGCACTTCGACAATACGCTTCAGAAGCATGAAATTTATAACGTGTTGGTTTTATTTTTAATATCCCTTAAGTGATGCTCAAGACCTAAATATTTAAAAATCCGAAACCAAATACAACGATTAAAAATAAAAGGGCCTAACGTATAGCCAAATACAGACAAGGAATCAGAGCTTTGCATATTTTATATTTCCTATATTAAAATGATTTCCAAAATTTAATAATTTACAGCAAATTTCAATCTTACAATATCCGAATTTTCTTGAGTACTGGCTACTGATGGCTGGTGATACCTTCCGGTACTAACAGTCGACCAGCACAGGTATCGACCCAGTGATAGTTATAACATCAACGGGGCCAATTTTTATGTGCAGATGCGTATTGCACTATTTTAAAGAAACCTCTTAATGCAAAAAAGTGTTCTCATAAAACAAGTGGTCTTAAATACAGGTACAATATTCATGAAATGTACTACATAGGGACCTAAAATAATGGTCTTATTACGAAGATTTTTTCATGATAAAGATGCCATCTTAAACAGGATTAACTATATATATAAAAGTACACGTGAGAACCATATACTTCCGAATCAGCAAGAAGATTTTATGGATCGAACAATTCAAGGTTTCTCTACTTCTGCCTTCTCTACTATGATTACCCGAGTTATTATTGGTGTACTTAGATTTTTATATCATAACTTTGTGTTTTTATTTTCTTATTTTTTGTCTTTATATGATTCAATATACAAATAAGTAGAATATGACTGGTATGATTCTTTATGAGACACCTCTCCATCAGAGACCAACTGATGTAGAAGTTACAAACTATATGTCACCATACGGGATTCAACAATAAGCAAACCCATACCGTATAGCAAGCTATACAAGACTTCGAATTGACACATGTAAAACAATTCAAAAAAGAAAAATAATGGTCTGATTAATGTACAAAACAAGATTTTTTTCAGCTGATGCTTACTACTAGATAGTATGCTGTATACATTTGTATATGGTATATAGTATTCCAGATACTTCGCCCTGAATCAGTAATATGGATAACTGATGGATGGAAAAATTCCAGTTTGGCCTATTTCTACCTTCTCTACCATTGTTTACCCTAGCTATTTTTGGTGTAATAAAATTGACAAGTAATAATTTTTGTGAGCACGATGAAGTGTTATATAGACAGATAATGATGCAACAGGTGTGTATTTCTTCGTCTCATTTCTTTACGCTTTATATCATCTGAAAACGATATATACTATCTACATATACAAGTAACGATAAAACGCAATGATCTCACTAATAAACGCACGTCAAATTTGCACAAATTTGCACAATGTAGTATTAATTAGTAAAATTTAGTTGTAGAAAAACAAAACTTACCCATGACAGTTACTGCATATGTCGAATAAAGTTAAAATTAAATCATTTAAACCACGGTTTTCGCACAATTTTCAATGGTGAGTTCTTCAATCAAAAGTGTTTAATGATCTCCATTGTTTCCTTTTATTACTATGCTGACAACAAGTTGCAAACACTACAAACTGATTGTCATAAATTAACATGCTCGGTATCTATGTATGTTGATTCTTTGTTTTTAAATGATAGCAATAAATTTTTGATTTAGTTTTTATGGCCATTGTTACATTAGTTTTATCAGTCAAATACCTGTACGGTATCACCGGCTACAAGTGCATAATAAAATAATAAAATCAAAGCTCAAATAATCTAACGAATGATAAACAACTTTCATAATCCTGACTTGATACAGGCATTTCCTTATGTAGAAAATGGTGGATTATACCTAATTTTATAGCTAGCTAAACCTCTCACTTGTATGACAGTCGCATAGAATTCCATTATATTGACAATAATATGTGAGTAAAACAAACAGACATGATAGGTAAAATCGTCAAAAATTAGGGTACAGCAGTCAACATTGTAATATAATCTGAATCACTATAAAAGCAAATAACTGTTCCAACAAAGAAACACAAAATGTCATATAGACAAAGTACATAAGCAAAAATGAAAGACAAAACTCAAAATTGACCATAGCACAAAGGCAGGATGTATAAGTACCGATCCACGTCATAAGTATATAATCAAAATTGGATAAACAGTAAAGATTTAAAATATACAGTGACAAAAAAGGGAATTTTAACACTTAATTAAGACGATAAACAACATTAGTACCTATAATCTATACTTCAAGACCATCATGTATTATTTGTGAAGTTGATACGGAATATTTATCAACAAGGTCTTGGTATCTTGCAATGAACTTTTTTAGAAACATATTACGTCTTTGACATAACCTTGGCTCATCAACTTTCTGCTCAGACACTGGTGACGTTTTATAAAGTCGATTTTATTGACAACAACCTTTTAAGGGAATAAATAATCCTGTTATCAGTAATCAAATGCACCGATTAATAATTGGCCATTTCACTTGACCAATATATTAAATTCTCAAAGGATGAAATCATAAACTAATAAAATTAAAATATTTAAGTTTGAATAAATAGAAATAATGAAATCTAAAGCGAGATGACATTCTCATTTTTGATTTATAAGTTATAAAATGTATAAGGTAAACACAAGAAATTCAAACACACCGGAATGTAAAAGTTGTGCAAGACTAACCCCTTTTTTAGCAATGTTCTATATTGTATTTTAAGATACTTTTGTCAGAAACAGAAATTCAAATCACTGATGTATTTATCTGATAGTACTTTGTCATCTTTCCCCCGATTGTAACCTACCGAATTAGACATATCACCGGGTCTGTACTTCCATGACCAACAAGACTGGTGCCACATGTGCAGCAGGATCTGTTTTCCCCTCCGGAGCACCTGAGATCACCCCAAGATTTTGGTGGGGTTCTTGTTGCTCATTGTTTAGTTTTTCTATGTTGTTTTGTGTACTGTTGTTTGTCTTTTTCTTTTTTAGCAATGGCGTAGTCAGTTTATTTTCGACTTATGAATTTGAATTTCCCTTTGTATCTTTCGCCTCTCTTTTTCCGTAGAATTTTATAAAAAAAGAATTTATTAGGATGCATATTCAAGAAATAAAATGATGAAAATTTATAACTAAATTAATTACTTTGTTTGCTTCTTCTTTTTCTTTATAAAGATGTATGGGTTCTAGGAAGAGTTTGTATCTCTAAAAAAACGTCATTGCTCACAAATTTTTAATTTATGAAATGTTTGGAGCTTAGCTTATACAAACAAAGTCTGAAAAACGGACATGACTTGTATTTAATATTTGATTGCAGTTTTTATTTTTATTACCAATTTATGATAGCAAGGGGATATTAGATTTATAATCTATGCGTCTGTCCGTTCATCCGTCCAATTCCAAATTTAAAACTTTAAAAGTTATATAACAAATTTGGTTTTACCTTGATTAAGTGGTTTACTTAACATGGACTTGTGATAACATGGATAATATGAAGGGGCATGGTGTCTTATAGCTATATGTTCTTATTTCAAATGTTTTGAATATTCATGTATAAGTATTTGTATCTTCAATATTCATAACCGCCTCGGTGGCCTGAAGTACGGGAGGTCTTGGATTCGATCCTCGGACTTTTCAAATTAAAGGTTGGCAGCCTCTCTGCTAAATACGCTATATCTAGGAGTAAGAGCAAAGATTGGTCGACCCGGAGTCCGAATAATGTGTACGTGTATGGTGACATGTCTTCCTGCGGACCTTGTGAACTAGCACGTTAAAAAAATTGGAACAGCCTGTCGGTCTAGTGCAAAATCGGGTTCATCTTCTCGTCCTGAATATGCATACTCAAACTACATATGCAATGAACATTTATGGTCCAACATCCTGTTAAAACTTACATTTTAGCGTTTTGCAAATTCGTTATCTTCTACACTGCACTGGAAATACAAAAAAAAACCTCGAATAGGAAAATCTTTGCATGCCTTTATTTCTGCATTAATATTGCGCATCGAAATCTTATTATCTTATTTCTATATTTCTGACTTATGACAATGCAATTCAATGATTTATGCACTAAAATTATTTTCAATGACACTATATATACTACTTGTTTATCAATAAAATGGATAAAATACTTTAAATTAATGTACTTCAAGTGATAACCAATATTTTGCCGGGAAATGTCTTGTATATTTGAACTCATATAGCATATTTTAAACTGTCATTCCCGTTAAACAAGACAACACAGGGAAGTACTTAATCGAGCACAACTTCTCATATACAACCT